GTCAGATGACACTGGGGAAGGACCCAACCCACAGCTCGCCATGTGCCTGTGACCCAAGGGGATCACCCCTCACTGTCTCAGGCAGACTCAACACTGGGACTTCAGTGCAGCATCCCTTCTCACCTCCAACGTACTGTCATTTTTGCTGTCATGGTCATCACCCAAGGAGGTCAATTTGAACAAGCCACTCTCTGGTTAATAAGCCATCATAGCAGGCAGGGTGCCGTGGCTCACACCTACAATCCCAGCACTTTGGGAGGCTGAGGCAGGAAGATGGGGCTTCACACCAGCGTTCAAGACCAGCCTGGGCAATATAGTGAGACCCCACCTCTACAAAAACATTTTAAAAATAAAAATAAATTAGCCAGGCATGGTGGTACATCCCTGTAGTCCCAGTTACTCGGGAGGCTGAGGCAGGAGGATGGCTTGAGCCAGGGAGTTCAAGGCTGCAGTGAGCTATGATCATGCCACTGCACTCCAGTCTGGGTGACAGAGTGAGACCCTGTCTCAAAACAAACACAAAAAGCCAGTAGTTTCTCCCCACTGCCCTCCCTATGACTTCTAAGATCCTGGTCAAGCTGGCCCCAACCAGCCTCCTCTCCTGACACCACTCCCCTGAGATTCTACACTACGGCCTTAACCAACTGCTCCTGCCCCAGGACCTTTGCACATGCTATTCCTCCATCTGAAACGCTCCCCCTTACCTTACCGCCTGCTCTCCCCTCCCTGACTCCTGTCCATAGCTAACATGCAAGGGAGGCCTTGCACAGGAGAATGGGGTCCCCGCCTGTTCGCTGCCGTGTCCCCAGCACCCACCAGGCACGGGGTCTGGCCCAGACTCTCTGTAACCGTCAGCTCAGTGACTCACTGAACTGCTTCGCCGTGTGGGTCACTGTGAGACGCTCAAACCCACCACAAACTGGGTCTGCTGACAGGGCCGCAGAAAAGGGATCATTATTCCAAGGCCAACCGGGAAAGGGAGGTACGTTCCCCCACCGGTCCCAGAAGCTTCTCTGGACTCCGGTCCGAGAAACGCGGCGCTGCGCTCTCCGCCCACGTCACACGGCCCGGCTGGGGCGGCCGCCTCGCCGCCCGCAGTCTGTTCCGCCTGACCCGCGCCGGCGCGCCGACTCACGTGTTGTGCGAGGAGGAGATCCAGTAGTGGGACAGCGGGTTGTTCATGTTCTGCATGTCCACCGCGTCGTGCTTCTCGTCCCAGATGCTGTTCTCTCGTGAAAACAGATAGGTGAGGAACTAAAAGAGCCAGACACAAAGACCGGATCCCTCAGGTTCTCAAAAAAAAAAGAAAGAAAGAAAGAAAGAAATTATAAAGAGCCTAGACGAGGAGTCAGCAAACGCTAGTCTGCACACCCAGACTGGCCCACCATCCATGCTTGACATTCGGGTTTTTCTGGGACGCAGCCACGCCTATTCGTTTGCATCTTGTCGTGGCGGGGTTTGCATTACAGCAACTGGGCTGAATGGCTGCAGCAGAGACTTCACAGCCCACAAAGCCTAAAACATTTCTACCTGGCCCCTTACAGAAAAATTTTATTGACCTCCAGCCTAGACTGAGGTCTGCAGGTGAGACACAAAAGGATTAGACCTGGGGCCAGAAGTCCTAGAGACCAACCTAAACGTTGGCACTTCCCCGCTGAATCTCTCTGTGCCTCAGTTTATTCATTTGTTAAATGCGGACAACCATTTGCTCACTTTGTGGCAGAGAATCGACATGATCACGTGTGCAAAGAGCCTAGCACAGAGCCTGGTCCCAGGGGGCGTCCCAGAAATATGAATTCCTCCCCCACCACCACCACCACTGGTTTCACCTGCAGAACCAGACCTGGGATACTGGGAAGAAAAGAAGGAATTAGTCGAAAGGAAATTTTAACTATTCTCTCTTGGCAGGTTCTGAAAGCGGGGCCAGGCTGGGATGGGGAGGTGGGCGGGGGCGGAGGGCACTGGGCAGCCATGGCGGGGGGTGGGGGGGGTCCCCGCCAGAGCCAGTGGCCCTCTTGGCCTGCAGGGGGCGCCAGCACCCCACTGAGGACCCACTGGCCATGACCTTGGCCAGGATGGGGGCCAGGCCCTCTGGGTACTGCGTGCATGTATACGTCTGTGTGTCTGTCTGTCTGTCCGTCCGTCTGCCCACCCGACCCTAGCTGCCTTCCCCTTAAAGGCGCAAGCCACCCAGAAACCACCCAACCGACCTGGAGGTGACGAAGGCGTGGTCCTTGATGGCCTGCACGACGTCGTCAAACTTGATCTTGGTGGTCCGCGTCCAGCCGTGGTAGATGACAGGCTTCCCGTCGGGCCCGTCCCAGCAGTCCACTAAGGGGAGACACCGAGGCAGCCTTAACGCCACGTGTGGCCGCTGGCGACACACACGCCGCTCGGCCAGGGGCCACCGCCTCCCAGCCCCCATGCCAGTCCAGGGACTGGGATGTCAGAGAGGCCCGGACACCACAATTATACCGAGGGCCACCGTCACGAGGACAGGGGTTCACCTGTGCACGTGGGGCTAGCCTGTGTGCTTACGTGCTGAAACGCATTTGTCCGGGAGAAGCTAGTCTCGACGCTTTTATTTAAAGGAAGATATTTATAATGTGCTTTATTTCCTGATTTCACCTGTTTAAACCCCAGACCGGCCTTTTCTGCCAGTGGAAACAATACGGAGCAAAGGGAAGTGTATCGGTCAAGGGTCACAGTAAAATACTGATACAGACATAGATCACGCGGCAGGGCAGCGGCCCCCATCCTTTCGGGCCCTGGACGGAGCGGGCGCCGGCGGTTCGAGCCTTAGCTTTTCACAGGGGAGAAAGAGCATGGGCTAGGGGGGTCCCCCGTGTAACTGCGACTAGACTCTGACACCGGCATGAGCCTGAAGCTTGTGACTTTTCTCAACCAAATGCACCTAAGGCGCCTCTGGTGAGAGAGTGAGGGCAGGAGGGAAAGGCCCAGGTAGGGGGCGAGAAGGAAGGAGGGAGACAGACGGGCCTCTGCCATCTGCCAGGTCACAGGTGCCTGGCCCATAGCTGCCCAACATTTTCATGGCTGCTCACAAACCCCCCCAGCACAGGTGACGTGGGGCACCTGTCTGTGCCCAGGAACCAGGGGGGCATCTGTCTGCCTTCCTCAAACACCAGCCCGGGAGGACACCAGGGGAGGACAGAGGAGGACAAAGCTTTGCCACTGGCCTCCCAGTCTCCTGCCACCTCAGGACACTTTCTGGAAGCCCAAAGCCCCCGACCCAGGCTCGGTGGCTCCCACCTGGTCGGGCCCCAGACACCACTCCTTGTCTTGGGGACCACTGCCTTCCGGGCAAGCATCCTCAGCTACAGCCCTCACTGTAGATGCTATGGTCACCTGGGTCCCCCCCCCCCAGCTTGTCCCACCCGTCCCCACCATTCGGACTTTAAAGGCCAACAAGCAGCAGAATCTAAAACAGTTGCTCTAGAGGAAGGAGTGAATAATACAACAGTGGCCACCAGAGACGGGGCGGGGAGGGGACGGTCACAGGACGGGAGTGACACTGAGAGGCAGGAAGAGCAAGCCCTGGAGCCCTGCCGCACAGGGGGTGATTCCAGCCGACAGTGAGGGCTCCCCCCCCACCCGTCTCAGAACCACCAGGGTGGGGGTGGGGGGGTGCAATCTTGCACGTCCCCGCCACAAAGAAAAGGGGCGCGTTCCAGGGGATGCATATGCTGATCGCCCTGATTTGGTCATCACACCACGCGCACAGGCATCGAAACCCCATAAACACGGAAATAAATAATCCCGTCCGTTAGACAATTTTTACGGCGTGAAAGCAAGCATGGAGCAAGCGCGCGGCTGGCTTGGCTCAGCCTGGCCGGGCCGTGTCTCCCGGGAGGGCGGCACTCACGCTCGATGCAGCGGCAGCCCATGCGCAGGCAGCGGACGTAGGCCTCCGGAGACGACTCGCTGCGCAGTTGGTCGCCCGTGAGGTACCTGAAGGAGAAGAGGCAGGTGGCTGTGTGGGGAGGGGGCAGGAGGGGCTGCACCTCGGGGAACTTCTCGGCCCGAGCCCCCAGGTCCTTAGTCCTCCCGTCTAGAAGGAGCTGGTGCAGACGCACACAGTCATACTATGATGCCTTAAAACTTACACAGGGTACGCACGAACTCTTGTAGTAGCCGATATTTTAGGAAAACCATTGAAAAGGAGGATGTTGGCTGGGCGTGGTGGCTCACGCCTGTAACCCTAGCACTCTGGGAGGCCGAGGCGGGTGGATTGCTCAAGGTCAGGAGCTCGAAACCAGCCTGAGCAAGAGCGAGACCCCGTCTCTACTAAAAATAGAAAGAAATTAATTGGCCAACTAAAAAACTCTATAGAAAAAATTAGCCGGGCATGGTGGTGCATGCCTGTAGTCCCAGCTACTCGGGAGGCTGAGGCAGAAGGATCGCTTGAGCCCAGGAGTTTGAGTTGTGTGAGCGAGGCTGACGCCACGGCACTCTAGCCCGGGGCAACAAGAGCGAGACTCTGTCTCCAAAAAAAAAGGAAAGAAAAGGAGAAGGGAGAATGTTGTCTAGGTCAGTGAGACGTGGGGCCGGTGCAGCCGGGGGCGGGCGGAGCCTTCTGCACTGGGGACCTGGGTCCCTGAGGTCTGGGGACCGTCCCGGTTTCACGCAGCAGGAGATGCTGTCTCCCCGGGTGGGCGCGGGTCGGAAACAAGCGAACACTGTCCCCTGCCGTCGACCTGAGGGATCCGGTCTTTGTGTCTGGCTCTTTTAGTTCCTCACCTATCTGTTTTCACGAGAGAACAGCATCTGGGACGAGAAGCACGACGCGGTGGACATGCAGAACATGAACAACCCGCTGTCCCACTACTGGATCTCCTCCTCGCACACACGTGAGTGGCCGCGCGGGCGCGGGTCAGGCGGCACAGACTGCGGGCGGCGAGGCGGCGCCCCAGCCGGCCGTGTGACGTGGGCGGAGAGGCAGCGCCGCGTTTCTCGGACCGAGTCCAGAAAGCTTCTGGGACGGTGGGGGAACGTACCTCCCTTCCCGGTTGGCCTTGAATAATGATCCCTTTTCTGCGCCCTGTCAGCAGACCAGTTTGTGGTGGGTTTGAGCGTCTCAAGTGACCCACACGGCGAAGCAGTTCAGTGAGTCACTGAGCTGACGGTTACAGAGAGTCTGGGCCAGACCCGTGCCTGGTGGGTGCTGGGACACGGCAGCGAACAGGGGGGACCCCATTCTCCTGTGCAAGGCCTCCCTTGCATGTTAGCTATGGACAGGAAGTCAGGGAGGGGAGACAGCGGTAAGTAAGGAGACGTTTAGATGGAGGAAAGCATGTGCAAGGTCCTGGGGCAGGAGCAGTTGGTTAAGGCCGTAGTGTAGAATCTAGGTGAGTGGTGTAGGAGAGGAGGCTGGTTGGGGCCAGCTTGAGCAGGATCTTAGAAGTCATAGGGAGGGCAGTGGGAGAAACTAGTGGCTTTTTTGTTTGTTTTGAGACAGGGTCTCACTCTGTCACCCAGACTGGATGCCAGTGGCATGATCATAGCTCACTGCAGCCTTGAACTCCTTGGCTCAAGCCATCCTCCTGCCTCAGCCTCCCAGTAACTGGTACTACAGGGATATACCACCATGCCTGGCTAATTTATTTTTATTTTTAAAAAATTTTTTTGTAGAGGTGGGTCTCACTATATGCGGCCTTGGTCCTTGAAGCTGGTGTAAGCCCATCTCTCTGCCTCAGCCTCCCAAAGTGCTGGGATTGTAGTGTGAGCCACGGCACCTGCCTGCTATGATGGCTATTAACCAGAGAGTGAGCTTGTTCAAATTGACCTCCTGGTGATGACCTGAAGCAAAAATGACAGTACACTTGAGGTGAGAAGGATGCGCACGAAGTCCCAGTGTTGAGTCTT